TGTTCTACTACAAAACATAAATCATCATTATCGAAGAGTAAACTGGCTGAACCTTAATGAAAATCTACAAGCGTTAATGACACAGTTATAAATTAAGAGAGAGAAGTGCAAAGAAGAAAAATATAATAAATAAATAAATAAAAATAAATGAATAAAAAATCTAGAATTCAATCAAATAAACAAAATAAATATTAAAATAAAAAAATTACTTATCTATCTAATATCATCTATATTGGGTTACCTCCCAACTAGCACTTTGTTTATAGTTGTTAGCTTGACTCTACAGCAAATGGCTTAAGTGGAGCTACGGTGTATCTCAACGTTTCGAAATCTCCTTCCAAATACATACCTTTTTTTAATTTTTCTTGTCTTGCCCCATCCTCTTTTTTATCATCCTCTTCATTTGATTCGGCTGCTTCCTTGACATCAAGTGTTTTTCTAGCTTAGGAGTCTTTTGGACATATACTCATTAATTATATCAATATTAAAGTATTCATCAGTGTCCAAAAGAAATTTTGACGTACAAAAAATGTTTAAAAATTACATGTTCATCCCCAACTCACAATGTTAACTTACCATCTTGCATATTAATTAATGTTATGTCTATTGTGATGGAGGGTCTTCCAAGTATGAGTGGAACTTCTCTTTCAACTTCCATGTCTAGAACTATAAAGTTAACAATGACTATGAGGCTCTCCACTTTTATCAGCACATCGTCTATTATTCATAAAAGGTATCTCACCAATCTATCCACCAGTTGCAATGACATTATTGTGGGTTTAACCTTGCCAATAACTAACTTTTTAAACACATAATAAGGCATTAAGTTAATCCTAGTACCAAGATCACAAAGGGCATTTTTAAAATAAGAATTTTCAATATTACATGGTATAGTAAAACTCTATGGATCTTTCACTTTAGGCAGTAACTTATTCTAAATAATGGAACTGCACTCCTCAATGAGCATAACAGTTGTATGATCTTCCAAACTCCTTTTCTTTGTTAGAATCTCTTTAAGAAACTTCATATACTTTGGCATTTGAGTAAGAGTCTCTGCAAAAGGAATATTAATGTGAAGTTTTTTAAATATATCAAGAAATTTAAGAAAATTCTATCTTCACTATATTTTTTGAGGCGTTCTGGAAATGGAACGGGTGGTACAAAGGGCTTGAGCATAACTTGCTTCTTCTCCTCTTATTTCTCCACCCTCTCTTTTTCAAACTTTTTCTTTTTTGTTCCTTCATCTATTCTTGCATCTATCAACTGCTTTCCGCTTCTCAAGGTGATTACCATAACATATTCTTTTGGATTTGTCTCAGTGCTACTCTATAAGGTACCTTGAGCTCTTCCATTAATCATGTTTGTTAATTACCCCATTTGGATTTCCAGGCTCTTGATCGATATTTACTGATTCTACAACATAAGTTGTTAATTTTGAATGGTTGCTTCAGTCTTTGTTGCAAACTTTATTGTGTTCTTATGAATGGCTACAATCATATATTCAAATGAGGGCTTCTTTTCTTGAGGTTGAAATCATAGGGAAGGTTCGGCCACATTCTGCTAATTACTCTATGAAAAATTTGGATGATTTCTCATCTCAAGATTATATATATTAGAGTATGGATTATATGGTGGTCTGCCCTGTTTAGTTACAAAACTCACTTGCTCCATTTCACATCCTTGAACAGGATCTTCACATAAATCTTGCACATGAAAATTAGTAACATTAAGACTCTTTTAATCAATTATGATTCGGATTTATTGGCTCAATCTGTTGTAAAAAGTTTGAACCAACAACCACTTAAGTAACCCATGACAAGGACATTTTCTAATCAATTCCTTGATTTGCTCTCATGCCTCATACATTGTCTCTCTATCCATTTGATAGAAACTAGTGATGTTGTTCCTCATTCTTGCCGTCTTGATTGACGAGAAAAACTTACCCAAAAATTTTTGAACTAGATCTTCCCATGTAGTAAATATATCTGCAGGAAGAGAGTACAACCAACTTTTACTTTTATCTCTTAAAGAAAAAAGAAAGAGCTTAAATTTAATTGCATCACTAGAAACACCATTCGACTTAAAAATATCACAAATTTATAAAAAAAATTTAGAAAGATGTACATTAGGGTCATCATTTGAAAAACTCCCAAACTGAATCGAGGTTTGGATCATCTAAATGATGGCAGGTTTGATCTTGAAGTTGTTAGCATTAATACTCACTCGAACAATGTTGGATGAAGCTCCCACAAGTGAATGAGTAGTAAAGTCGTGAGTGTGCTCTCATTATTCTTGGTTTAAAACATCCCCGGCTCGTCTAATTTCTTCTTGTTTAGCCATCTCAACTCTTGTTTGTCTTTCTGCCGTTAATTGTTTCATTCTCTTTCAATTCAGTTATCTATAAGTTTTTTCAATCTTTGGATTTATAGGAAGTAGTTATGCGTTGTTCGAATAACTAATATACCAACTAAAAATAGAAAAAGAAATGATGTAGTCTTCTCACGAAAAATAATAAATAAAAATAAAATAAAGTAAATAAATAAACAAAATAATAAAAAAATTGCCCTTGAATTAAAAGTAATAAATAAATAATAATAAAACTAAAATGTAAGTAAACTAAAAATAAGAAAATAAATTCTAGATTAAGAATAGAACCCTTAGTATTAATATTGATATCACTAATCCCCAGCAACGATGCCAAAAACATGATGGACGAATTCGCAAGTGCACGAAATCGTTCAAGTAATAAAATTATAAGTCGAGTGATGTGAGTATGGATAATCTTGGGCCACATGAAAGAGATATCATTATGCCAAGTGGGACCATAATAAGGAGCCAAACCCAAGGATTATAATAAGTTTTCCAACTCTTCATCCAAGCTTAAATTAATGAGGAAGATGGATTTGGATCCACACAAAAAAGCCCAAGGAAATAAGTTACCCAACTAATTAATCTAAGGGCATAATGGTCTTATTAACTTTCTTCAAGCACATGATGGAAATGGGTAAGAAAATGAAGCAATCGGCCAAAAAAAAGGAGAAAACCATATATATCATTATTAGGAATTTGGATTTAAATTTTAATTAATTTCCTATGTAATTGTAGCTAGTTAGGAACTTAGACTTTATTTTCAATTAATTTCTTATGTAATTGCAATTTAATTAGAAGATTTTTATTACCTTTTTATTTACATGACTTACCGTATAAATAGCTCATCAAGACTTCATTGTAAGCATTCAAGATTAAAATCGATAATATTGTGAGTCAAATTCAAGAGAGGTGTCTTCATCATTCTTATTGAGCAAGGAGTGGATCTACTTATCAAGGTAATTCCTTGTGGCGTTTTTTCATTCTTCTTTTAATTCTCTGTTTTCTAGTGATCTTAGTTCCTATCAATCTTGATAAACGGTTAAGTAGGGAGAATTTTTATATGATCAAATTCTTTTAGTGTCTTGAATTTGTGTGAGTTCCTAATTATATTGGTTGATATTGGGTTCCACATCATTTGGTATCAGAGTTTTAGCTCCATCTAAACCTATTATCTTTTACTTTTGTACTTTTAAATTCTTGCACCATTTATTTATTTATTTTGTTCATCTAAAAAAAAGATTATATCATAAGTCGATCCAAGCAAGACATAACGTCAATTGACACTTTCTTGGCTTGATAAAATCATTGTTGAGTACCATTTTTTTAATCTACTTTTCTTGCAATTTTGTTTCTTGTACAAAAAAGAAAAGAAAAAAAGAGAAAAGAAAAGAAAAAAAGAAAAAAAAAAAAGAGAAATAAAAGGAAACAATGAAAGAAATCTCATAGGAAAAGTACTTACCTTTTTGGTACTCAATCATCCTTCTTTGAAACAGTGCAAGAACCACTTCTTCATAAGGCAAAAACCCTTTTTATTCTACAATTTTTTTTTACAATCACGTGCATCCACACTTACACAATTCATTAAAGGCGTTTTTTTTATTGAATGTAATGTACATCAAGAATATATTGGTGGAATATCATTTGGATTTCTTCTTGGATTAATACCAAATCCCTACATCTTTTATAAACCATCAACTTTTTTGTTTCTACTCTCAGTTTCTTTTATTGTTCTAAGCTTTAGTTTCTTGATACACCTAAGCATCTAAATTACATCTTAGAGCTAAACGTAATCGATAACACACTATTTCTTCCTCTGTGTGTTATACTCTTACTTTTAGTATTAGTGCAATATTTGTTCTATAGGACTCCTTGCGGTGTCTTAAAATAATACTTGAGAATACTTTGATTCAAAATGATCTATTCAACACTCAACTTGAGGATGGGAGATAGAAAGGTAAAAGGCAAGAGCGTGTAAGAATATCATAGGGTAAAAGCCAAGTGAGTAAAACACGAGAAAACCAATGAGGAATCTTTATTTGGGATTACTAACCTCTTCTGCAAGGAATTCTTTTCTAAAGATGTCAAGCGAATACCAAAGCCCTGCTGACATAAGAATATTTTTGGAGGCTATGCAAGCAGAATTGACACAACTCAGTAAAAAAGTGGATAATCTAAATGGTGGCCAAAGTGAGGCAAAGCACGGAACACAAAACACCAGATGACCTAAGACTCAACACCATGACAATGACGCTGGGTCCTCTATTGATGAGGAGGAAGATAGGGTAGAGAGGAGAAAAGAAAAGAGGGATAGTAATATTAGCTCCATAAAGATGAGAATACCACCTTTTAAAGGTAGAAATGATGTTGAAGCATACTTGGAGTGGGAGAGGAAGGTAGAACTAGTCTTTGATTGCCATAATTACTACGAAAAAAAAGATCAAATTAGCAGCGGTAGAGTTCACGAACTACGTCTTAGTGTAGTGGGATCAACTACTCCTCACTAGATGGGATAATGGAGATCGACTAATTTTCTCCTACAAAGAGATGAAAGTAATCGTGCAAAAAAAGTTCATACGCTCTTATTATTATAGAGAAATGCATCAAAAGTTATAGTGTTAACGTAGGGGTCTATGTCTGTTGAGGACTACCATAAAGAGATGGAGATGGCTATGATCAGAGCTAATATAGAAGAGGGTCTCAAAGCAACCATGGCAAGGTTCCTTGGAGGTCTCAATAGAGATATCGCCAACATCGTGGAATTACAACGCTATGTGGAGGTGTAGGACATGGTCTACATGGCCATGAAGATTGAGAGACAACTAAAGAGTAAAGGTAAGGGAACATTCTATACCACTCTTACCTTTAACTCAAGATGACCAAAGAAAGAGGAAAGGAAGGGAGTTGAGGCAAAGAAGGAGAAGGCAGCCACACCTGACTATAAAGGTAAAACACCTATCTCATCTCAGAAACATTCAAATGTTTCAGGTATTAAAGATCCCAGCACATTGTTTCCAAATGCTCGAATCAAAGGGATTGATAAGAGACAATGG